TTGAGAAGGCAGTTATCTCTAAACTCAACTTGTCACCACCTGCTATCGGATTCGACCAAGAACTCCAGACCAGACATGATTGTTATAGGTTAAACTTTTATGTGAAATTCTGTAAAGGTATAGAGTAGCCCCCTGGAGGGCCTCTGCTTCCAGCTCTTGCCTGTGGGGCCTGCCCCTTTAGCACTTGCTGTAGATGGCTGCACAGCCCCGCTCCTCAAACTCCTCCTTGCTGACCCAAAGCTGCTGGAAGGCCTGCAAGGAGGCCAGGATGGAGCCGCCGGTCCACACCGACATCTTCCTCTCGGGAGCAGCAGCCACCGTGGGGGTCTCCCCCGGGCAGAGGAGACTCAGCTCCCTCTGGAAGCGCTCGTGGAAGCCATCCAGCATGGTGCAGCCACCGCACAGCAGCACGTTAGCGGCCATCTCCTCCTTGAAGCCAGTGTCCTGGCAGCGGCCCAGGCAGTCAGCCGTGAGCTCCGGGAGGCCTGGCTGGGTGTAGCCCACTAGAGAGGGCTTGAAGAGCATCTCGGAGCAGCGGAAGCGCTCCTGGCCGATGGTGATGACCTTGCCGTCTGGGAGCTCGTAGTCTACATGCAGGTCCTCAAGGCCCAGGCTCATCTCCTCCTCTGGCTGCAGCGCAGCGTAGCAGCACTTCTTCTTGATGTGTTCTATGATGTGCAGGTGATCATCCGAGAACTTGTGACCTGCCTCATTGAGCAGCTGCATGAGATAATTGGTGAGGTCGCAGCCGGCATAGTCTACACGGCTGGGCAGGCCCGGCAGCAGGTCCCCCTCGGAGATGGGCACCACGTGTGACACGCCGTGCCCGCTCTCCACCACCAGCCCGGAGGTCTTGCCATATGAGTAGATGGACAGTAACGCCTGGGAGGTCACGTGCATGGCGGGGATGCCAAAGGTCTCGAACATGAGCTCCGCGTACTTTTCCCGGTTGCTGCTGGGGCTGAGCGGAGGGTCGGACACCAGCACCGCGTGCTCTTCCGGCAAGATCTTCATGGCGGTGTGGAAGATGTACTCCCAGATGTTCTGGATGCAATCCCAGTCCACCACAACGCCATGCTTCAGTGGGTTAACCAGCTTCAGAGATGCCTCCATGTTGAGCAACTCATGGCCCACGTAAATCTCCTTGAAGGTGTCTCCAGCGTCTGCGGCCAGCTCCGCGCTGCGCTTGCCCACGGTAGAGGAGATGAAGTAGGTGGGCCTTGGCTCTCCCGCGTAGCCACACTTACAGTACTGGGAACCCAAGTCAATGACCAGCGCCTTGATCTTGCGTATTTTCTTGGGCTTCAAATTCAGTTGAGTGGAACCTGTGTCCCGGATGCCAGCCTCAGGGACTGGCAGTGCTCCTGCCTCTCCAGGGTCGCCCTGGGCTGTGCCCATGGGCTTAGGGCTAGGGTTGTTCTTTGTCGCCATCTGCCTCCCTTCCTCGCCTTCTTACATCCACACCCTAGAGCTCCTGGAGAGAAAATGAGAGCCCACCTAGCAGTGCCTTGGCAACCACTTAGGGTTGTGATGTCACCAGGAATGGTCCATTTAGATGGGGGGAGTTTGGTCTTTTCACCCTCCACACACCTTCCTAACTGGTTTGCTCCAGGACAGAGCTAATGACCAGCAGCGCTAGAACCCACCACGCTGGACCTTGGTGCTCTCTGCTCCCTCTCACATGTCCATGTCTGGCCATTTAGTGACGATTTTTTCATTCCTTTCCTCCTCTGCTCCTTGGCATTGATAATTTGTGCCCATACAGAAAGCCGGGCACAGTACCGGGTGCTTCCCATGTTGTTTTGTGGAATCTTGGGGACTGGGCAGAGCTGCATAGAGGTTCAGAATTCAAGAGCAAACAGTTTTTAAGAGTGGTAATACTTCAACCAAAGTTCACCTAACACCAATTAACAAGGTCTCCTAAAGACCTCTGCACTAAGTGTGGTGGGTATGGATCAGTATGTCCAGCTGAAGAGATAATGGCCAAGCAGCCTCATACACGCATGTTAGGTGTCAAGGTGTGTATGCAGCACATGTTGGGGAGGAAGGCTGTCTACTCCTACTGGATATCCTTGGGAAAGCTGTGTACCTGTGCCTCAATGTTCACACTGGTGGGACTCAGTTGGGTCATATTTCAATGCACACTCTATGACCCTAATGAAAGAGTGAAAATCTATGTTCAAAACTAATTCTTCATAAGGTTATCTACTCATTACCTTAGTCCCCAAAATGAGGCAGAAGTGCTTACCAGCCATCACAGCAGCAGTAAATCCTAGTAAAAACTAACTCGGATCGATGGTGTCTATTTGTTCAGATTTCTCTAGTGCTTCCTAGTCCTGCTCACCTAGAACGGAAGTCCTTGCAATGGCCCACAGCCTGATGAGACTTGTCTGTAGCTGGAGTTTTCTCCAGTCCTGCCCAGCCCCATAGACCCCACAACTGCTTATAAAATAATCACTCAGAAGCTTATATTAATTAAACTGCTTGGCCATTAGCTCAGGCCTACCACTGACTAGCTCTTACACTTAAACTCAGCCTATTTCTGTTAACCTACATGTCCCACGTGTTCTGTGGCTTTACCTGTTGCCTTTACATGCTGCTCCCTGGACAGCAGGCTGGTGTCTACTCCTCTGCCTTCCTGTTCCCACAATTCTCTTCTCTGCTTGCCCCACCTATACTTCCTGCCTGGCTACTGGCCAATCAGCATTTTATTTATACAGAGCCATATCCACAGCACTTGTCTGTTCTCCACTACCAGCCTTGCTTCTCCCACCCATCCCATCGACATTTCCAGGCTCTTCCCCTGGTCACACAGGCCTTTGTGCAGCTTCTCTCAGTTGAGGTCAGCAAACTTCTATAAGGGGACAGTCACATTTATTTCCATTGAGCTTTTGGGCCAGTCTTTGTGATGCTGATTGTACTCTGTTTTTTATGGCCATGGGCAATTCATCAGTGAATGGGTATGGTTGCTTTAGTAAATGTATATACCACCACAGACCACAGGCTGGACGTTGCTGCATCTAACTCCCCAGTCATATGACTTAGTCCTCTGCACCTATTGCATCCCTAACACTCACGTCCCTTGGTCACCTCCTTCAGCTCTTTACACAACTGCTGTCAGCTCAGGGAGCCTTGACTGTGCTGTGGATATTGCTCTGTATGCTGTGAATGTGTTGCTCTGATTTTGTTGATAAATAAAGTGCTGATTGGCAGGAAGTATAGTATAGGCGGGATAAGCAGAGAGGAGAATTCTGTGAAGAGGAAGGCTGAGTCAGGAGTCGCCAGCCAGACGTAGAGGAAGCAAGATGTAAAAGTACCGGTAAGCCACAAGCCACATAGCAACTTATAGATGAATAGAAATGGGTTAATTTAAGATATAAAAACTAGATAAAGAGCAGATAGATAGATAGCAAGGAGCCTGAGCCATTGGGCCAGTTTTAATTAATATAAGTTTCTGAGTGATTATTTTATAAGCGGCTGTGGGGTCCTTGGGCAAGCACAGGAAAACCTCCAGCTACAAATGGCGCCCAACAGCTCAAGTTCCCACCTGAAACCTGAAAATACTTAATAATCAATTCTAAATGGAGCCAAAAACAGGTTCCTGCTTCATGTCTCATGCATGTGGTGAGCCCCTGCAACATGACAGTTTGAGCTACAGTATGGCGGGTTCATGGCATCTGGGCTTGACCTATGGCATGGCTGCAGATTCCCGACCAGTTACACAGAGGTTTCTGCAAGTTGCACATTACACTGTGTGGTGGATTTAGCCTTTGCTAATACAAACAAACAAACAAAAAAAAAGAAGAAGAAGAAGAGGTTTCTGGGCTACACACTGCTTTGATAGAGGCAGGGACCCACTGCCTCCCAGAGTCTGGTGGTAAACGTAGTTCTGCCATGTTGGGAAGCTGAGGTGGGTGGAGAATGCTGCAGTTTAAAGCAATAGATTCACAATAAGGAAGATTCAGATGGAACAAGACTTTAAATGGTTTACATTATTGTAGCTAGAGTTTTCCTGCCTGGCCCACAGTCAGGACAAATCTCTCTCACCTGCCAGTCCCACAGCCACTCAAACCTGACCAAGTAAACACAGAGACTTATATTGGTTACAAACTGTATGGCCGTGGCAGGCTTCTTGCTAACTGTTCTTACAGCTTAAATTAATCCATTTCCATTAATCTATACCTTGCCACATGGCTCGTGGCTTACCGGCATCTTCACATGCTGTTTGTCATCGTGGCGGCTGGCAGTGTCTCTCTGACTCAGCCTTCCACTTCCCAGCTTTATTCTCCTCCTTGTCCCGCCTACACTTCCTGCCTAGCCAATGGCCAATCAGTGTTTTATTTATTGACTAATCAGCAACACATTTGCCATACAGAACATCCCACAGCACATTATGTGTAAAAATGTATGTAGGCTTGGAAGAGAGAAGAAAATGAATATAGACAGTTATATAAAGAAATAGTTTTAAAAAATAAAGTCTTTAAAGAGACAGTAAAGGTAATATAAAAAATAAGCCATGTAAAGATGGATATTACACAGAGAATCTGCATTGTGTTATCTTTGATATTTTTAACTGTAGAAAGACATTTGATTGCAAAAGCTGCTCAGTTAAACCAATATGTATATTTTAAAGGTATTTTGACTTCAAAATTTGGATCTAAGGATATGTTGCTTTGGAAAGGAGGCTCTGTTTTTGTTTCCACAGGAAACAAGAGGCTATGGATTTGTTCCAGGTTAAGATACATCAGGTTTGACCAGCCAAGACCCCCTGAAAGGTCTCCAACGACACCATGGCCTAGATCATCCAACATCCAGAACGGTTTCAAGGCAACTGGCTCAGACAATGCAGCCTCATAGACTGTTACAGTCAGGACTTGACCATAATCCTTAATTTTCTCAGGATTCCCATTAGATTGTTAGTGACCTCATCCAGCAGGAAGTAGTATAAGAAGCTATGCTCAAATTCCCAAAATATTGTTTATGAATGTTTATTTTTATTTAAAGCAGGTTTATTATAACTGCAATCTCTTTATAAGAAGAAAAGGGGATAGTATAGATATGATAGGATGAAAGGGTAGATTAATGAACCTACTTTTTAAGAGCAACAACTTGTTTAGAAATGTTTTACATTGCTATGAATTTTAGTTTATTGATACAAGTTTAAACTTAATTTTGTTATACTGTATATATATTTCTACTCTCGTTTGAGGTATTATGCTTATGTAACTCATTTAGATTGTAATGGATAATTAAAAAATACAGATTAATAATTAGTCTTCTATGATATTCAAACTTATAGTCATGTTAAGTTTTCTAGGTATACATAGATATAATTCAATTTGGTAGGTAATCTTCAAACACCAAAGACCTACAGAATATGGCATTTAAAATGTTTTAAAAATTTGGACTTTCTGGACAGTGAGACATGTCTGCTCCTGGCAGCACCAATTTACTTCAGAGAGGAGGATGGGCATTGAAGACACTCTATATGGAGTTTATCTTCTTCTTGGCAAAAATAGTCATTTGGGCAAGAATCTTTTCTTGCTTGGACTGCTTGACAAAATGATATCAACTGGACTTGCAGGACCCATAGGAAGGTGACTACTAAACTTTGCTTGGTGAAATGGTCCTTCAGGTTCCTGTTTCGCAGAGGAAACTGCCAGACATTCTACAGGACACAAAGAGAAGTGACTGAGAGACTCTAGGCCTGTGGGCTGAAGACAGATGCCCGACTTTACAGAGGAACTTCAGGTGACTGTCCAGGTTGCCAGCTGTCTGTCTACTCTTGCAAAACTCCCAAAAGTTGCTTGCATCCTTCTCCCATTTCTCAGGTAATATTATATCCTTCTAAGGTCTTTGATGTAGTTGAAGATTAGATAGTTATGATTTCCTTAGTTATGATAAAAGACAAATTAGGTATGAAACCTTAGACCCACAAATATAGGATAGGATATCTTTTTTAATTTTGCCAAATACAAATAGACTAAATATTATATAGACTAGATATTGTAACTATAATTATTGCTTTATAATTGTTTTGTTATATGTAATTTTACTATGTTAAAGTTAAAACCTTCCTTTTTGAAAAAGAAAAGGGGAAGTTCTGCGGATATCACTCTGTATGCTGTGAACTTGTTGCTCTAACTTGGTTGATAAATAAAATGCTGATTGGCCAGTAGCCAGGCAGGAAGTATAGTATAGGCGGGATAACCAGAGAAGAGAATTCTGTGAAGAGGAAGGCTGAGTCAGGAGTCGCCAGCCAGACACAGGAATCAAGATGTAAAAGTACTGGTAAGCCACAAGCCACATGGCAACTTATAGATGAACAGAAATGGGTTAATTTAAGATATAAGAACTAGATAGCAAGAAGCCTGAGCCATTAGGCCAAACAGTTTTAATTAATATGAGCTTCTGAGTGATTATTTTGTAAGTAGGCTGCAGAACTTGGCTTGGCAGACCCGGAGAAACTTTCCAGCTACATGCCTGAGCCACATCAGCATGGCCACCCTCTCCTCTGATTGTTCTCTAAAAATTTTTCTAAATTTTATTTTTTGTTCAACAAACATTTTGTGTCTTTCCCCCAGCACACACCAACTAGAATGTAAACAAGAAAGGGCAGGACTCTGTTGCTGCTTCTTCACTGTGGTATTCCTAGATTCCTTGCATGTCACAGGCATTCAACAAACATTAACTGAATGAATAAATCAAGCTTAACTACAAAACTGGGGGGGGGGGTCAAAGATAATAAATATCTCTAATGTACCCTAACAAGGTCTCCAGTATCTAGAAAGTCTTTGGTCATTGGATTATGTCACAATCAGTGATGTCACTGTTGGGCAGATTCTCAAGCTGTTCTCTGATTTACGCCTTTCAGGCCTTGTAGCCAGCAGGATCTGGAGCTTTCTGAGGGCAGTATGTCTCTGGAGAGCATGTGGGCTCCACAGGCAGCAGACATAGGGGATGGGCCTGCCAAGAAAGCCGGCAACCAGGCCTCCATGCAGACACAGCTCCTCCAGACTGCCTCCCTAAAGGATGGCCCAGCAAAGAGGGCAGTATGGGTTCGTCGGGACAGTGCTGAGACAGAAGCCTCTGATAAGTCAACGGTGTCGAAGGACAGGACCAAGTTAGGGGTGACCAAAGCAGTGGTTGTGGATCTTGGCACTGGCTTCTGTAAATGTGGCTTTGCTGGCCTGCCAAAGCCCACTCATAAGATCTCAACAACAGTGGGCAAGCCCTACATGGAGACAGCCAAGACTGGGGATAATCGCAAAGAGACCTTCGTGGGGCATGAGCTCCTTAACCCAGAAATACATCTCAAGCTAATCAACCCCCTGCGTCATGGTATCATTGTGGACTGGGACACAGTACAGGACATCTGGGAATACCTCTTCCGACAGGAGATGAAGATTGCCCCAGAGGAGCATGCAGTCCTGGTTTCAGACCCACCCCTGAGCCCTCACACTAACAGAGAGAAGTATGCTGAGATGCTGTTTGAGACCTTCAACACACCTGCAATGCACATCGCCTACCAATCCCGCCTGTCCATGTACTCATACGGTCGTACCTCCGGCCTGGTGGTGGAGGTTGGCCATGGCGTGTCCTATGTGGTTCCCATCTATGAGGGTTATCCTTTGCCTAGCATCACGGGGAGGCTAGACTATGCAGGATCTGACATGACAGCCTACCTGATGAGCTTGATGAACAGCTCTGGAAAACACTTCACTGAGGACCATATCAGTATTGTGGAGAACATCAAGACAAAATGCTGCTTCGTGGCCCTAGACCCCATTGAGGAGAAGAAAATCCCTCCCAATGAACATGAGATCCATTATACTCTGCCTGATGGGAAAGACATCCGTCTGGGCCAGGAGAGGTTCCTCTGCTCAGAGATGTTCTTCAAGCCATCTCTGATCAAGTCCATGCAGCTGGGCCTCCACACCCAGACAGTGTCCTGCCTTAACAAGTGTGACATCGCACTCAAACGAGACCTCATGGGGAACATCCTGCTCTGTGGGGGAAGCACTATGCTCAAGGGTTTCCCTAACCGTCTGCAGAAGGAACTGAGCAGCATGTGTCCCAATGACATGCCACAGGTAAACGTTCTGCCTGAGAGAGACACTGCAGTGTGGACTGGTGGCTCTATCCTGGCCTCGCTCCAGGGTTTCCAACCACTGTGGGTTCACCGCTTTGAGTATGAGGAACATGGGCCTTTCTTCCTCTACAGAAGGTGCTTCTGAACTGATGCAGCATGGCCACTGTGGTGACAGTGTGTCAGCTTTACTACATGAGGGAACACCTTCTATACATGGTGCTGAGCTGGCATGTTCATTCCTGTAGCATTAAAACCCCCTGGTGTCCCCTTCCCTGACAGCGTGTCTATTTCCTGACATAGTAAGACCCACACATATGGATTATCACCTTAAATGATGCAGAAACCTGGGAGCGGAGGGGGATATGAGGATCAGACATGCGCTATGCTGACTGCTCAGTTTCTCTTGCAAGAAACTTGCTCTAACATTATTCTGGCCCTTGTGAGATTCCCACTGTAGGAACTACTCTGTTGTTAAAACATGTTTAAGGAAAAATGTGATAAAACAAGTTAAGAGTAAATGATGTTACAGGATACAAGGGGAGGTGGGCAGTGGTGGTGCACGCCTTTAATCCCAGCACTCGGGAGGCAGAGGCAGGTGGATCTCTGTGAGTTCAAGGACAGCCTGGTCTACAGAGAGAGTTACAGGACAGGCACCAAAACTACACAGGGAAACCCTGTCTCAAAAAAAAAAAAAAAAAAAAAAAAAAAAAAAAAAAAAAAAAAAAAAAAAAAAAAAAAAAAAAAGAAAAGGAAGATACAAGGGGATCCCCATCCACAATTTCCCACAGAATACTGAATAAATTTAGTCTCCCACAAAGCAGCACTGTATTTCACATCTGACAGCAAACTCAGAAGGTGCAGAATATGCTGGTGAAGATAATCTACCCTCTTTTAACCTCCTTTTTACTCCCCAGTTATGTCTCAAATCTGGTTCAGAGTAAGCCACCAGGGTGACTGGCTGTAACATGCCCCCAGACCTTGGCACAATTGATGGACACCATGATGGAAGTACCATTCAGTCCTTGAACCCAGGACACAGGCAGCAGCTCCTGACAAAACCAAAACAAAGAACTAATCCATCAGAGTCCATCATCCTGCCAGGGTCCCTAAATGTACTAACCTTGCTTTCCCGGCTTCTGTAGTTCCCTTTTGGTGAACTGTTCTTGCTGAGCTGTGTCAACACAAGATGTGGTTTTTGTGCTCAAAAACTCACCCTGAGAGAGGTTCAGTGCTACACTCGGGTCCCAAACACCCAGCATAGTTGTCAGCTAATAAGACTTTCTGGCTTGAATCCATGTCCAAGTGGTCTTCTCTGGTGGATACCTCACAACATTTCTGGGGACCCCAGCGAGATCCCCAGAGACCAGACCTCAACACACTGGGGGGTCTCAGAGCCCCTTGGAGCAGGGAGGAGCTCTAGGGGATATAGAACCTGAGACATTCCAGGGTCCCAGGACACTCTCTGATTAACCATTGCCTAATGCCTTGGAGGGAACAAAATACAGTCACCTGGTCTGTCACCTCCAGAGGAAGTCTGGCTAAGGTGCCTTCTGTTTAGGACATAAAGGACAGGAAGGCTGCAGATGCAAACCCAGTGTCTGGGATCCACGTGAGACATCACTGGACTCCCCTAGTCCATTCAGGTGTATGAATGTGTGGGCGTCACCCGTGGTTGTCTTTATTATGTGTCTGTGTGTTTCTGTTGGCTGGACACACAGACTTAAAATGGGAGAGGGAACGAGCCATCTGGGGACCATGGCTACCACTGCCCCCAAGATGTGGCCACAGTACCTGCTGCTGTTGTGGCAACAGCAGTGGTTGTAGTGTCGAGTGCAGGTCTGGAATGTGGCTGGAGAGCCCAGCCACCCCAATCAGTTTCTCTATATTGACCAGTGGCTTTCTCTCACAGCTGATGGAAAGCAGATACATGCTTCAGGATCTGGTCTCCAGAAGTGCTCCCAACAGCTACAACTGTGACTTTCAGCTCTTAAGCAGGAGGCTTTAAGTCTTACTGGGGTTCTCAGTCACATTTGTACCCCTGAGCATCTAGAAAACAGGCATCTTTACCATGCAGAGGCTCAAGAGCCACTCACCCAACTCCAGGTCTCCCTAGCTGTCTTCAAATAGAAAGCCTCACACGTCAGAGCCTGGACCCAGACTGGTGGGTCAGCATATCTGACACCAGAAAGCTGAAGCAGGGAGGAAGAGACAGAGCAGTGGAAAGACATCTGAGGTCCCATGGTTTGGCAAGGTGACTAAGCCTTGCCCTGGAGAGTCAGAGATCAGACAAGAGTTGGGTACACCATACATCTTACCTCAGTTTCTTCTTAGATTGTTCTACTGGCAACAACCCATGAGCACTCACTAAGGGACAAGTCAGGTCGATTAGATCACCATCTCTCAATGCCTTTACTCAGGGGTGGTAAAGCCTAAAAACCCTCAGAGAAAGTGTTCTAAAATTCATTAAAGGTTTTTTTTCCAACCATAAATCATTTCTATCTCTGGACAGGGGTTGATGAGCCCGAGTCAATGAGTCCCAAAAGGGTGAAGGGTCTTGATGAGGGAGGGATGGGAAATGTCTTCTGAAGGGAGTCTCCAGGAAGCTCCAGGCCTAAACACAAAATGTCAATGGAAAGCTAATACAACAGCATTCCTTCTCAAAGCACTTTCAATTCTCTCACTGGATCCACCTGTCCCTGTAGAAAAGACAGGCTTCACACATAGAAACATGTAACAGTTTAGTATTTTTGATGTCATCTAAGTTTAACAGTGAACTGGAGGTAACACAACAAGTTTGTTACTACAGGGATGGAAATACGTACTACTATTGTGGTGGTTTGAAAGAAAATGGGCCCCAAAGAGAGTGGTACTATCAGGTGTGGCTTTGTTAGAGTGGGTGTGGCCTTGTTAGAGGAAGTGTGTCACTGTAGGGGCGGGCTTTGAGGTTTCCTATGCTCAAGATACCGCCCAGTGTGTCAGTTGACTTCCTGTTGCCTGAGTCAGCTCCAGCACCATGTCTGCCTGCATGCCACCATACTCCCAGCCATGATGATAATGGACTGAACCTCTGACACTGTAAGTGAGCCCCATCCCCTCAATTAAATGTGTTCATTTATAAGCTGCCGTGGTCATGATGTCTTTTAAAACAACAATCTAGTGAGTAGAGGCAGGGAAATTGAAAATACCCTGCCTAAATGCCATCTCAGGCAAAGAATGTCACTCAAAATGCCTATAGGTAGCTCAGGAAAGCGAAGTTCCTTTGTCCAAGGACACTAAAGTTTGTGGATTCAGAACCTAAACCCTCATCTTTATACCAAGATGTCTGTTGAAGTTTTTGAGTAAAAAGAGTAAAGGTGGCCTAGGGCCCAGGAAAGGGCTTACAAGCACAGAGAACACAGGGCTCAGGAGTCAAGAGCACCATTCAGTGTTGCCAAATGCACCAAGGGAGCCTTAGCTGTGTACAGCCTCTTGAGCAATGGTTCTCAACCTGTGGGTCATGACCCCTTTGTATCAGATATTTATACTTCATAACAGTAGCAAAACTACAGTTATGAAGTAGCAACAAAATGATTTTGTGGCTGGGGGTCACCACAACATGAGCAACTGTATTTAAGGGTCACAGCGTTAGGAAGGTGGAGAACCACTGCTCTACCTTGAGCATTTAGTTAGCTATATGTGGAGATTTCAATCCTCATCCGCAGGTGCAAGAGCTGAGGACTCCCGTGGGCTTATGCAGTATGGACTAGCAAAACAGGAGCAGTGGTTTCAATGAGAATGGTCCTCATAGGCTCTTATGTTCGAATGCTTAGTCACCAGTAAGTGGAACTGTCTGAGAAGAATTAGGAGCATGGCCTTGTGGGAGGAGATGTGTCACTGGGAGTAAGCTTTGAGGTTCCAAAAGCACATGCCAGGTCCAGTGATGTAAAGCTCTCAGCTACTTTTCCAGCACCATGCCTGCTTGCCTACACCCATGCTCCCCACCATAACAGTGATGGACAATCTTGTGAGTATAAGCAAGCTCCCAATTAAATGCTTCTCCTATAAGAGCTACCTTGGTCACAGAATCTTTTCACTGCACTAGAACAGTAACTAAGACAAGGAGGGAAAAAAATCTGACTTTGCTTTCCAACTTGCAATCACCTTAAATTACTAAGAACTGCCAGGTTTTTGCTTTCTGTTTCTAAATGCCCTGCGACTAGGGTAAGTAGTGCACGCTAGTTCCAGAATTCAAGGGCAGAGAGGTTGGAGGCCTGCTGCCAATTCAAGACCAGCTTGATTGCACAGTGAGTGAGTTTCACACGCTCTTCAGGTATAACGTAATGGTGACAAGTTTTTCAAAAGTGAGTGTGTGTGTGTGTGTGTGTGTGTGTGTGTACATAAAGAGACAAAAATTATTTAAAATGTGTAGAAGTGCTAAGTTATACAATTTATACTCATAAAGACATAAAAACATTAGGACTGGGAGTGTAGCTCACATGACTTGCATGTACAGGGCACTGAGGGGTTCAAAACCCAGCACCACAAATTAAGAATGAAAATCCCTCAACACCTCCAAATACTGGCTTCCATCCCAGATTTCAGAGTGTGAATGTTGAAGTCTACTGACGGAGGAAGACGGCTCTCTGCAAGTTACCTGTTGATGGCCACAGCACTGAACAAAGCTCCAGGACAACACAGGCCAGAGAACAACCCTTACTCAACACGAGTCAGAGAAATCAAGAGTTTTTAATTATTGTATTGAGAATCTGCATTGAGCTAGAGCCTAGGGGAACCATGTGTTTTCTAACTGACAGCTTTCCCCAAAGTTAGCTCTCATTTCTCTTGTCCCACAACCTACAGGTCCCTCCGTGTCTCAGCCTTCAATACAGAGGACCTGCTAGGCCTACTTAATCTCAAAAATCAGCAAAATTTACTCCTGCACAGATAAGAGTGGCCATAAATGGTACAAATTAGTTCCTGTTGCTATAGTATTGTGTTTTTTTGTTTGAGATAGGGTCTCTCTAAGTAACTGTGGCTGTCTGTCCTATAACTCATTATGTAGACCAGGCTGGCCTTGAACTCAAAGATGCTGGGATTAAAGGCATGCACTACCACACTCAGATGCTGTAACATTAAAGAAACTGAGCATCTGTGAAAATTTATACCATTGTCAGCAGGCACATTTACCCCCATTTCTAGTCTGTTAGCATCGATTCTTCACTGTTATCCAAAGCAAGAGCATTCCAATACAATAAATGTCACATAAGTAAGTTACAGTGTTCACTGATCCCTGACAAAGAGTCATTACAAAGTACTCACAGCCTTTTGAAACTGGCATCTAATTGTAGTAAACCCATTATGGGGTGAATCAAAAAGTAGATCTCTCCAAAGCACAGTACATTGTCTTCTTTTTCGATTCAGTGAAACATTAAAAAATATATAGAAAAGTTGAATTATATAGCAAATACTTAGGTAAGTCTTTCTAAAATTACAATTTTGGGTAATCTATATACTGAAGGCCAAAAGCAGCATTCTCTGTTAGTTTACACATAGTAATGAAAGCCTGGTTCGGGCATTAAAAGCATAAGAGAGATTTTTAACTTTACTCCAGGATCGGCTATGAAATTCTTGTTGGGGAGGGATATTAGTTTCCTAGGTGGTATACCCACAAAAAAATTCCCTGTGTTCCAGTAACT